CCATACAAATTGAGCGTTAAGAGGGATGTTTGGACAAGATGCTCATAGAGGAAAGGTCTTTAAATTGGTTATATGGCTGCATATTCTCTTCTTAAAAGGGGTTTAGAGTTTTAGCATCAAGATTGTATTTAGGCAGGACAGTGGTCACACTGCTCACATGTTTCTTCTTTTCTTTAGAAAGTTGCATGTTTGGTGCTCCTAACTACTTGATATTTGGGATTCAAGCAATAGAGTGATTGGTTTTATGAGCATTTCCTGGAGCCTTACTGTCACAAGCTTACAAGGGGGTAATGGTTCTCTTTCAGTTAGCTGATATATTGAAGAAGTAAATAATGCACAATAATAGTACGGTGCACAACAGTTGGATTGGTTTGTAACAGTTTGTGTAGCTTTGTAATGTCTGTCCTACAATCTGAGTGGCCGATTTTTCTACGGCACACATACAAACTAAGTATGAAGGGCAACAAATGACCAATCAGATGGTGTATTATACCTTTAAAGTGGCGTTACATTACTCAATTGGCCAAATGTACCATTCAATAGACCAAATGTACCACTCAATGCGCCATGAGGACTAAACTCAATCGATGTAATATTTCCTGCCGATATTGTCAAAATCAATGAAAATTGGATTGGATTGGATTGGACTGAAGATGCATGTGTGACGAGTGTCGGCCGCCACGTCGAAGCTAAGAGTCTATGCTGGACACTGGGTATGCATTTAGCCTGGTGTTCTTTAACCTAATCAACAGGTACCTGCCTGCATTTGGCGTGACAGGATTTTGTCATCTTGACTTGAGCTAGAAGCTGCCTGTACAACTTTACTTGTCCTTGAGATAGCTTTGCTACTGTTATGAACCATTATGTAATTTGTCAATTTTGAGGAGGTATCATTAAGTATATTAAGTTACTAGACTATCAACTTCAACCAAACATTTATGTCATGGTCTAACTACAAAATGATTATGATTATGTATCAAACAGTCTGTCAAGAGAACATTCGTCACGAATTGAAATACATAGCCAGATATCTCTTGTTAATCAATATATACATATGAAAGCAGGCACAGTAGATTGATTTGGCAGTATGTGTAATTGCAAGGCCGAAAGGGGCCAAAGCCTGCCGATGCGAAGCTTGACCTTGTAAGTTGCAAGTCATAGGAGATAAGGTTTTCAACTTCCAAGTATTGGGGTTTCAGGAGACTCTACAATCCACAACCAGTTTCTCAACTGATATCAGGATAATGCTAAAATTTATTTGCTGTTATAATATTTGAATGCTGCTACTTCTCAATAAATTTTTTATTTTATTTTTTATGTTTGTTTGCTTAGGAATGCCAAGCTTGAAGAAGACAAAGGAATTTTAAATTCTGCCATATATCTTAGGACTTGAAGCATATGCTTCTGGTTGTGTGGCTACAGATCTGCAATATAAACTAATGTGAGGAGAATAGAGGCAGTGTGGCTTGGATAAGATAGACTTTATCTTATGAATTAAATTGAATTTGTCATTCTCTGCATATGCACTCATCAATATCCTCCATGCCTAAAATTGTTTGTAGTGACAAATGAGGCCAGACAATATTTCAAAAAGATCCTAGATCATGACACTGGGATTCCAAGTATCTAGCTTAATTATCGATTTGAAGTAGCGTAATCTTCCACTCATATTCCTAATATTTTAGCATAATCTTCCATACACGTATTCCTACGATAACATCCTATGAGGTTTGTTCAGATACTAATTGTCACGATTTTGAGTATGTACGTATTATATACCCGAAAAGTTCTCTTGCCACTTATGAATTGCAAAAAATGGAGTTCCGAGTCAGCTGTTGGCATAATCTTCCACACTCATATTCCTAATATCTTAGCATAATCAAATTCCTATAGTAAGTTAAGATTGTATGAGGTTAATTAGCTCTGATACTACGTGTCACGACTTTTAGTATGTGCGTACTATATATCCGAAAAATTGTCGTGGCGCTTATGAAAGCTCTAAGTGAGCTGTTAGTTTACATCCGTGATCTATACTTTACCCAATAATAAGAAAGAAAAGCCAGGAGAAGAAAATAAATCACCTCAGAGGACAGAGTACATATGCTTAGCGAACAGGTGACAGTGTGAGTGGTCTGAAAGCAACCCTAGAAAGAAAAAAGAAACATGATAAGAGGTTGCCTTTCAATTCATATATATCGATGTTAGGATCTTGAGCAAATGGCAGAGAAGGGTTCTTGAGCTGTAGTGTGCCTTGAGAACTAGGAAATGTTACAGAAACTTGAAAACAACCATTCGCATACGTATACATGTGAATGCATGATTTAATTTGGGTTATTTTTGGTTTGTATTGTATGAAGACAAAAATGGGAACATATTTAGAAAATCTTAGGCCTGAGCTATGACAGGTATCTCAATCACTATGTACCACAAGCTAGACGAAATAATATGTCTGATATGGAGCCAGGGCCCAGGGCAAATGTAAAAAATTAGGCCTCTATATATATAATTCTTTTTTTTTCATTTACGTGCTAGAGTAACTCTCATTTTTCGATCGAGATTTAACTTATTCAAATTTACTGAAAATTTAACATTCAAGACAAATAAATTTTATAAAATCAAACTTCAATATATAAAAATCTAAAATAAGAGGCTACACTTGATATACATTCAAATATAATGCATAAACAAGATAAATACTTGTAACAATTTAATCTTTTTTTTTTCTTTTTTTACTTCCAGATTGTTGTTTTTTCAGGAATCATTGCTACTTGAAATTAGAAACAGTACAAGGAAATCCAATGAAATTTTAATACTTTCAAATAATAAACAAAGAACAATATAACTTGGAATTTGAGAAATCTCTCTTCACAACAACAAACTTAAAACTTCCAAATTTGCAATCAATCAATTAGAGCTTAAAAGTGTTGAAACACCCCATGTTACTTTTTAAAAAATATTAAAATAATATATAATAAATATACTATACCTCTTTATAAAATAAATAAAAATTTGTACCTCCTAGACAATGGGCCCAGGGCAGTTGCACTGACCACCCTTGTCCAAGATCGACAGCACTGTATAGAGCTTTCTATTGAAACAAAAGCCATATGGGTTGGCTTCGGCCAACCTTGTGGGAAGCCTAGTGGTGCAACCGTCTCAGATTTTGTAACTTATGAAAATTATCTCATATTTTAGTGCAAAAGATATTATACTTTAATCTAATCTAAATTATGAGGAGGGGATTAACTTAGGTGCAGAGTGGAGAGACTATTATTATTTTTTCTTAAATAAAGATAATTTTGAGTTTTCTTAAAAGGTATCTTTTTTTTTTTTAATGAAGGAGAGGCTACCCCCACATCTAGGGCTAGGACAAACCCTAGGCCTTTACTAAGAAGGAGTTACTCAAAGGCTTCTACGCCTTGCAGTCACCTGTATAGATTTTCAGAGAAATTTTATAGATTACCCACCAAACACGGAACTGTTGGCAAGGAGACTCGAATACTGATGGGGCACACACGATACAGGAACCTTATCAACTGAACCAACTCGTGTTGACAAAAAGCATCATTTTGAGTTATTTGAAAATTGACCCATATGGTCTTTTGGTTTATATATATAGACAGAGACATCTTTTTCCTAATGTTCAAATTTCCCTTCTTTATTAAGGAAAAACATTAGAAACACAAAGCAACCTTCTTTTTATAAACAAAAGCAACAAGTCAGAAAAACAAAGCACATAAAGTTTCCTTTAAAACCTCAAATAATCCCTTTTCTTTTTCTTCATATGAATATCGAGAGGGTATTTTAATAAGGTAGCCAATCTGCCATCATGGACATTTAATCTTATTTAGATCAATGTGTGATGCTGTGGACAATGCCGTAGCATTAAAATTGGCTTCAAATTTGATTAAAAAGGAGGAAATGCAATGGGAAATATACGATTTGAGTCTAGGATTCGGTCCCATCAGTACTTACTTAGAGACAAAATCTGTGTCCCGACATATTTATTGCGAAACATGCTCACAGAGTCACAGCTAGTGGCTCTAGGCCCAGCCCAAAAAAAAAAAAAAAAAAAACACAATCATAGGTATTTAAGCCCTAAACCAGTTTTACACAACTTCAAAAACAATTCAATTTGGACTATGACAGTGACGTAGTTGAGACAGAACTAAAATAGTGGTTGAGATGGGAACACGAGGGCTCAATTCATGTATTAGTGGCAGAGGAGCCAAAAACTTGTTCGTCCAACACATTATCTCTTCGCTTGAAAGAAAAATTCCACTAATTAGGTTCAAATTGCAAATTTACTAAATGGAAGAGCAAATAAAAAAGTTATTGGGGCTTAAATAACCCTATTGCCCTTATTATCGCCTTGCTAATGTGCATTAACTTTATTTCGGTCCTTTCATATTCAAAATATGTTTAGTTTTCCAAGTTATTTAAGGAAAAGCAAACTTAGTTTTTGTATTAAGTATGCATGTAAAGGGTAATTTCTTTGACAAAGTCATTCAATTTCTTGAATTTGATACAATTAAAATAAAATAAGAAATTCCAGAAAACACCAACGTATTTTTTCAGAATTTCAACCCAAATGCAACTCGGGAGGAATTTGCGGAGGGTACAGGTAAAGCAGTAAATAAGTGATGAAGTATGGGTAAAATTGAGATTGGGTTGGGCGTTGAGTTGGGTTGGGCTGAAGGGCTGGCTGGACATGTGTGAAAATGGGAAATGACCCATCGTTAGACAAGTGACTCAATCCATCGAAGGACTTTCCAAAGCTTTTCTCTTTCTTTCTTCCCTGTGCAGTGAGAGTGTGTGTGTGTGTGTGAGAGAGAGAGAGAGAGAGAGAGAGAGAGAGAGAGTCCCCACAACTGTCTGTCCTCGCAGCTGGACAAAACTGCCACCGCCAATAATGCTTGGGACCTTGTAAACCAGACAACCATAGCCTTCTCAACTCTCTCTCTCTCTCTCTTCTGCTAACTCTCACCAACTCTCTCTCAGTTTCATGTATATCTAAGCATTACTATTAGCATATCCTCTCAAAATCAGTTTGAGAGTTTTCCACCCTTCATTTCTTACCACACCCGTCCTTAGTACATTTCCATTTTGTTCGCCCCACCTTTGTTTTAACCCATCTTCACCTCTCTCTCTCTCTCTCTCTCTGAGGCCCATTTCAACCTCTTGTGTCAAGTACTCTCTACCTCTTTCTGATCTCCTCAATTTGTTAGTTCTTCAATGCTCGCACAGAGCATTAAATATTGTTCTATTTAGAAGCATCATTACACCCATCACAAAACAAAGGAATATATTTATTTTATGGTGTTGGATTCATGGTGTCTCATTCTGCTTCTTATTGCTGGGGCTTCTTACATTTATTGCAATTGTTCTGTTAGCATCACAATGGAATGTTGGTAACTTGGTATAGCCAATATATCTAGAGAGAGAGAGAGAGAGAGAGAGAAAGAGAGAGAACAATTTAAGGCACAGTTCACCCAACAACTGCTCAGCTCAGCTGCAATGGAGAGGCTTCAAGGACCCATTGATCCCTGTGTATGTTATGTTATTTTTGCTCAATTTGTTTGTACTGCCCTTTCTTTTTCTCTTTCCTCTTTCTAGAATCCCTTCCCTAGCCTCAAGAAATGCACTGCATTTACTTCTCAAAATGCTTGCATTCAATGCAATGTGTGTTGTTTTCCTGGAAATAATAACACCGTGCTACACTGTTTTCCTCTTTCACATTCCATTCTCATTCCATTTTTGTTCTACCTTTCCTTTGTTGAAAGTTGAAACTGAACCCCCCACTAAACCCATGTCAATTTTGTTTTTATTTTTCTCTTGCTTTCTTTAATAGAAAAAGGTTAGGTGTGAAGCCCAGTAAAGTTCTTACCTTTTCCGAACTTTCTTTCTTTCTTTATTCACATTTTTTATAATTATTTTTGGGTTTATGGTTTGTTGCAGTTTTTTGGTGAGCATTTGGATTTTCAGTGCTTAGAACAAGGATTAAGCACCACAGAAAGCTTGAGATTTGAGGAAGAAGAAGAAGCAGCACATCTCTCAATACCAAGCTTGGAAGACAAAATGCCATTCCTTCAGATGTTACAAACTGTAAACTCCCCCCCACCTTACTTTCCCTTGAAAGAGCCAAGCTTTCAGGCACTCTTGAGACTACAGCACCTAAAGAATCCATGGGAGTTAGGCAAAGCCTACATGCCTGAAATGGAGACCCAACTTCAGACAGCACTAGAGATTGAGAGCTGTGTGACCCATGACATGGTTGAATTGCATTCACCTGTTAAATCAGAAGCCAAGGACCTTCATAATCACCCACATTCAGTTTCTGCTGGTAATCTGGAGGCTGTTAGTTCAGATTGCATCCAAGACCAGGAACAGCCCAACTCAGCTGAAATTAACTGTCGTAGGAAAGGCAATAACTCATCAGGATCTCCTCCACCTACCTGGGCTCAAGCACAAAATGAACCTGAGCAGACCCAGTACCCCAAATCCCCTCCAGTCACCAGAGAAAGAAGAAAGCGCAAGAGAACAAGGCCAACCAAGAACAAAGAAGAAGTAGAGAGCCAGCGCATGACTCACATTGCTGTTGAACGCAACCGCAGGCGCCAAATGAATGACCATCTCAATGTTCTCAGGTCCCTCATGCCCACTTCCTACATTCAAAGGGTAAGCATATATATGAATTTTTAATCTTTAGCTTCTTACAATTTCATGAGTTAGCTTGAAGAAGCCATGAAATGTTCTTTATTGAAATAAGCTTTGTTTTTCAAAGGGTGACCAAGCATCTATTGTGGGGGGTGCAATAGACTTTGTGAAGGAATTGGAGCAGCTGCTTCAATCCCTTGAAGCCCAAAAGAGAATGAGAAGAGCTGATCAAGGGAGCAATGGTGACAACTCTTTTAGCTCATCATCATCATCCTCCTCTGCCAGTATGGCAATGCCATCCAATGGAATGTTCATGTCTCTGTCCCAATGCAGAATTGGGTCTCATGAGGAAGGCACCACCACCACCCCCCTTGAGGATGAAGTAACAGCACAGAACAAGTCTGAGGCTGCAGACATAGATGTCACAGTGATCCAAACCCATGTGAACTTAAAAATCCAGTGCCAAAGAAGAGCTGGGCAGTTGATGAAAGCCATTCTTGCATTGGAAGATCTTAGGCTCGCAGTTTTGCACCTCAACATTACTTCTTCACAAGATACTGTTCTTTACTCTTTCAATCTCAAGGTATTATTTATCTTTTACAATTTTTTTTTTCATTCTGTCTTATCTGTTTGTTTTTTCCTAGTCAAACATTCTGACTTGGATCTCAAGCTACCCTAGCTAGCAGGCTAGCATATATGATATAATATCACAGCACCCCAGTAAAGCTTCTTTTTAATTTGTTATTTTATTGCTCTTGTTTTGAGGAGATGTGTGAATGGATGTAATATAATATTAACACAGTTTGGAATTTAAATTTGGTGTGTTACTGCAGATAGAGGAAGGATGCAAGTTAGGATCAGCAGATGAGATTGCTAGAGCTGTACATCAAATATTCAGCTTCATCAACGGCTGCAGCTGATTGGTTTAATGAGTCAAGGCAGTGCTCCAGAAAGCAGCTAACCCTATTTCATTTCTTAGAGAGAGTAGGGATAGGAAAGGAAAAAGAAAGTGACCACATGAAATGAAAAATGTAAGGTGGTCTTTCACTCTTTTAGGATATTGGGATGGAGATGGGGAAGCAGAGGGAACCTCCACTTTAAAAATTGTTTCCATCTCCTAGGATGTAAATTTGTGTGTTTTAGTTTTACCCGCTGAGGTTGTAGCGACAATGCTGCAGATGATGTCTATTTCTTCCTCTCTCTTTTTTTGTTTTTTGTTTTATGATGGGGGCCCACCATGCTTGCTGGAGAGTTGAGGGCTCATTTTGAATATCTGATATTCTCATCATCATTACAGCTTTGCAAAGGATGCTTCTCTTTCTATATTTGACTTTTGGGGCAATCCATATGGACTATGAGTCCGTAAGGTGCTTCATCATTGCATGTGGCTTTATGCATGTCCTTAAGCCAACACTCTTACCTGCCTCTTGGGTTTCTGAAGTCTGTACATTTTTCTTCAGCCTCCATGGATGACATGATAATCTTTCAAATTTCAATCTTGAATCATGAAACACCCTTCTAATTGCCAAATTATATAGTTTTGGGAAGGGAGGTACAATTAGTCAAAGGCTCCAAGCCCAGCCAGCTCAGTTATTTTCCTCTTTTTTTACTGTTCTAGGACCTAAACCTAAGGGCTTGTGCTAGTTAAATTGCCCTAGAGAAATGACATGAGAGAGAGAGGTAGGCTACAGAAACTTGAAATGTGAACCCAAGTTGGCAGTATATGCAGCTGAATTTGGCTCACTCCCATGTGCCCTCTGGAAGCTTGTGAAAAGAACTTGTTACAGTTATTGCCAAATAAGTTCATGCTCACTGTTATTGCTAAAGATAAATATATTGTGGCCAGAAAGAAGTGGTACCACACCCACATGTATTGCACCTGCTGCTCTTGCTGGTGGAATATTTAACATTACTTCCCCATACTTCAAATTCATTTTTGCCACCCAATAATTCCATTTTCTTAAAAGGATAGCTACAAGTTTATTGGACTTATACAATGTTCAAGATCATTTCATCAAATTGCTCTCCATTTCTAAGTTTCTAAGGTCGTAGCTTTCACAGTAGCTTCACCTACCAAATAAAAGGCATGTCCAGGAAGGCTGTCAATGTCCTATATATATATATATGCTTTAAGATTTTAATCTACAAATATTTTGTGCATATTTTTGTAGCTTTCCCTTTGTGTTTACACATTGTATATAATTCATGACATGATGAATTGAAGTTTAAGGGAGACATGGGCAGAAGATTTTGTGTGAGGACATAGGTTTGAAATGGGATGGAGGAAAGGCAAAGTCAAAATGGTGGTGAGGTTAAAGAGAGAAAAAAAAATAGAAATCCCACTAAAAAGTTGCCTGAAAATTGTCATATATATGGATGATGAAGACTGGAGAGGGCAAAGGCAAGTGTGCAAAGCTGCACCACATATCCCAATGTGAAAAGCCAAAGTCTTAGTCATTTTTGCCTCTGCATTTCATATTCCTTTCCCACAGCCTTTCTTCAAGCTCAGTCTCAATCTACATCATTTGGTTTTTGGTTTTTACCTCCCTCCATGTTTCCCTTTCTTTTTCTCACTTTTTGTTTGAAGTCAATCTTTAATCATTTCCTTAAACTCTGTGGACATTTAGCCTAAGTGTCATGATTAACCAATTCAGATTCCAAGTAATTAACTTCATTAACAATAATAATATGCGATTAAAAGGCAAAACGAAAAAAAGAAAGAAAGAAGAGAGAGAGAGAGAGAGAGAGAGAGAGAGAGAGAGAGAGAGAAAACGACCAGAGAGAGAGAGAGAGAGAGAGAGAGAGAGAGAGAGAAAAGGCACCCAAAATTAAGAAATAGAGAAACTTTGCCAAGGCCCTAGGGCAACTCTATCTTCAATAACAAATGGAACCCAAAAAGGAACATTTGTCTGAAATTATCAAAGTAAGTGTTTGTTTTATTTGGAAAAACGAGCCTCTAATTCTATAATCTAATTCTACAAATCTCACATTTCCAGAGATTGTCCTTGGATTAGATTAATAAAGCATATTTAGCTTAATTTAATCACTTCTCCTTCTTTGAAATGGCAGAGGAAAATTGAGAGTCTCAATGTGGTTGGTCTTTCCAAAGCAAACGCCGTCAGCTGGTTTAGTTAGGGTTTTGCATTCTTGCATGCCAAGGGTTTTGAGATTCCATCATTTTGGTTAACAGTTCCTTTGTTTTTTCTCCTTTTGGTTCTTTTCCAACATTAGACCAGCTTTAAATTTACCTGGCAGGTGACATGTCTGTGTGACTACGTTCACCATGGTTTGATGGGACAATGCATTTCAATTTCCTTTTTATTCATTTTTTCCCACCTCTAAGAGCATTTCTAGCTGGAGAGACAAGCACGGGCAAGAGGCCCCTAGGCCCCCAATCCTGTTAATCCCGTTTCTAGCGCGGTCAAGGCTTGCCAAGGCAAGCGTTGGGCTCCACCAGCCACTAGGCTGGGTGGAGTAAGACCCAATGTAAGACTTGCCTGGACAAGATTAAATAACTAAAAAAAACTAAAAATTTTAGAATTTTTTGAAAATAAATACCTAATTATATTCTTCACTTTCCACACTAAAATTCTATACAAATTTCTCTCATCATATCTTATGTGAATAGTGCTTGCCTTTGGATTGCCATGACAATGAGTGGAAAACCAACAAAAAAAATTGATAACACAAGCACTAATCATGTGAATGGTAACATCCCTTGTCTCCCTTTGCCTTTTGCCGTGACAAATGAATGGAAATGCTATAAGAAATTGCAAATGATATTAGTTCAAATTTTCAAATGTTTTGGGTTTTAAGACTCTCGAACTTTTGATCTCTTCCAACAAAATAGAGAAAAATACTACTAAAACATTGTTATTAATTGATGATTTAGAGACACATTCAAAACAATGATCCATTCAAATTAACAATTCAGTGTGTTTTATAATCTCAAGATTGTAAGGCAAAATACCATTTCTCCTGTTACTAAAGAGGCTTCAATCTTCTCTGTTCTTATCCAAAGACAAAACCTTCCACAAAAATCTTCCAAGTTCCAAAGAAGAAAAATGGGGTTGTGATTCAGATGCTGCAAATGTTTGTACACACTCTACTTCTACTACAGCCAGAGTCTTCACACTTCAAATTCCAAAGAGAACCTCTCTGTCCTCTCTAATGACTGCAGGCTCAGGCTCTGAAAACTGTCCATCATGAAATGCAAAAAAAGTTGGCCCTAATCCCAAATTAAAAACACCCCACAACAAATCTAAATTTTTTATTTTCTCCTAATTAACACCAAGCCAAAACCACCTCACTTCCTCTGTTCGTGTTGAGTCTGAACTTGGGTAACTGGGTTTTGTCCATATAAAGCTGACATGCACTTTTATTTGTTAACATTATCAATAATATAATGGTATCTTATATATATAATCAATTATATATATCTTTTGCTTGGTGGGTTTGGTGGGTTGAGAAGGTTGGGGTCAGAGATTTATCAGAGGACAAGAGATTCCTCATTGTATGGCATCCAAATCTCAAGAGAGTGCCAGAAATCTCCTTGGAGATTCTGTAAAAAGACCCACATTTTTTTTTCTGTTGGCCCACCACCTCCAAATTTCAAGATCTACCTTTTTAAGCTTTCATTTTAACCTACAGATCATAGGCATAGCATAGCACCCCCATCACCACCGTACAATCAATCAGATCATAGAAAATCAGAAAATCAGAATCCCCAAACCCAAATTTTCATCATACCAGCCATGCTTTGACCTATGGTCGCCCCTCATTTTCCTTTTACTCTTTTGAAGTCAACACAAGAAGAAGAAGAAGGGATCAATCAATCAAAATTTTCAAAGGGGTCAAAGTAAATTTCAAAGTAAAACTTCTTTGGTGAGGTGAGGGGCTTGTCCAGTCAATCAGTCTTTGACAGCCTGCGCATGTGTGCCTGCTTCTGCGTACTTTTTTAATGCAACGTTTTTCTTTTCTTTCTTCTCTCTATGTTACATGATTATTGCACGGTTGCACGAAAGAAGTTGGGAAGAGGCTGTGAGTCTGTGACGATCGATCGGCAGCAGAAAGGCCTATAATCTATTGTTTTCTTTTTGTTTGTTGTTGCATAGCTTTCGGCTTCCGAGATGTCCCCAAGTGGCTTTTCGGCCACACCATGAAACAAGGCCTTTTTCTTCATATTCTTCAAGGACATCTTCTTTTTTAGCTTTGTATATCTCCCTTTATTTTTCTAGTACATGTTTAGGGTTAGTGTGATATTGTATCAACGTATTGTATGTGGTGAAGTAGGAGCTTTTTTCTTTATCAATAATTCTATATAATTGTTGGTCTAGTCGCTTTCGATTGTAAAATATAATGAGAAATAAATACATAATGTACATAAACTATGATTAAAAAAAATATATTAGTCGTGAAATAATGGATAGTGAATCAAGTATATACACATTACACATAGTGATATGCAATCAATAATTGAAGAAAACAATATATAGGATAGACACATAATTATATGCAAATTTACGATAGAATCGTATATGGGATTTGGGTTGTGGGCTCCTACGTGTATAAAGGTGAAAAGTGTGAAATGCCACTTTGAGGCATTTTACCAAACAGGTGGTGGGACGAATGCATGAAAGCTCAAATTATATTGAAAGAAGCTGGCTAAGAAGACAAAATGAGTCATAGTATATGGTAGTGTGGGGACTAGGGAAGTCTAAGCTTAACCTCCCTCTCTCTCTCTCTCTCTCTCTCTCTCATGCGTCTGTGTGGGGGTGGGAGGGGTTACATGGGTTTGTTTCGGTTTCCGATCCAAGAAACAAAGCCTTTTTCCTATGCCATGGTTTGTCCATCCCCTTCTAACCATGAGCAAATTATTCACCTCGAGATCAACTCCCTTCAATTATTTTCACTTTTATCAACTGGGGTTTTTACCGTTTCACTGTAGCGTAAAAAGAAGCATAGGCATACTATGTAGCATTCGTACGATGGTTTGTTTAGATTTACGCGGGAATTGGCATGTTAGATCAAAGGAAAAAAGAACCCTAGTCTCCTACATCTATCATTCTACCACATCTTTGATTCTCAAATGGAGAATCTGACCTATATAGCTACATGTGATGATGTGAGATGTGTTCAAATTATCAATGACTAGCAATCGTTAATAGACTAGAATTATAATTTAATACTATGATTGACTATTATTCTGAAATACATTAACTCAATGATTGTTAGGCATATCGACTCTATCAGTCATCAATATGCGTGTGAACGACAAAAACTTGCTTTTGTCCTATAGGCTTGCTTATTACAAATCAAGCTTCGATGCCACAAGCACAAATGTGCAATTTAAGGAGGCGATTGTGCCGTAACTGTCACATCTAATTAGAAAGAAAAAAAAATAGTGCCACCTTACTAAGTTTGTCTATAACTTATATATTAGCCTATTAGCCTCTATTTTAAAAAAGGAAAAGAAACCTTGCATGACCATCTAAAATAAAATGGGCTAGTGCCTTACTACCTTGTGTGGCCTGCTTATATTGGATTTGGTCCACACAAATATACTGAAGTTTAAGATTACTAGGCCGAAGGCCCAAAGAAGACAAGATCACTTAGGCTCAGTTTGGTATTACCGTCACTTTTGAAAAAAGTTGCTTATGTTGTGCTTTAAAAATAATTAGCTGTAAAGTAAAGCAGCTCCATGTTTGGTAAACAATATTTTTAAAGTGCTGTTAGTACAAAAAGCAGTGTCAAAACCGTTTGGTAAATTTTAATATAAAATTGTTGTAACTGTGAATAATAACTAAAATAGACATGATATTGAAAGTGTTATGTACTAATCATGTGGTGGTAGTGGTGGTGATAGAATGGAGGTGGTGGTGGTGAAGAAGATGGAGTTGGTGGTTGTTGTAGTGGTGGTGGTAGGGATGACTGTTGTGGAGGTGGTGGTAACAGTGGCAGCATGGTGGTGGTGGTGTTGGTTGTGGAGGTGGTGGTGGATGTGGTGGAGGAGGTGGTGGTTGTGGTGGTGGTGGCAGTGGATGAGGAGGAGGAGGATGTGGTGGTGCTGGCGGTGGTTGTGGAGGTAGTGAATGTGGTGGTGCAAGCGTTGGAGTTGGATGTGGAAGTGGAGGTGGTGTCATTTTTAAAAATGAATGATGATATTTTGGTAATTAAAAAAATTCATTGAAGGTTCATCTCAGCTTCTTTTAAAAGTAGCTTTGAAAAACAACCCAGAGCCTACTTTTAAAAGCTGCTGTCAAAAGGCTACTGCTTTGAAAATAATCGGGATATTTTATTTTTACCAAACACTTTAAACTGCTTAACTTTAAAGTGAAGCAGGTTTTTAATTAAAAAAGCAATCCCAAACGGGGCCTTAGCCTCGGAAGCAAGCTGACCATTTCTTTATTCTCGTAACTCATTTTTACCTCAACCTCAACCATCCCTACTTTAACATTTACCACCAACAGTATAGGTAAAGGTGAAAAGAAACTTGTTCTTTGATGCCTATGGAATCTCTGCTACCCATCCCCTAGTTAGACGACTTACAAGTAGGCTTACATGATGATGGTTTGTTTTCTTTAAGGATTTTTTTTTCATCAATATTAATGAGAGGCTTATGCCAGTAGTGGATAGAGAGTGCAAATGTTTAACACCAGATGAGAATCTTCTTACTAAAAGGGTATTGGGTGGTGGTGAACAGCCTATCACATATGCACATGTAGATAGTTTCACTCTTTTAGACCTTTCCCATATCAAAGCATGATGGAGATGTATGAAATATTTTGCTAAATGTTTTCTCTCGGTTGTGCCCCACTAGTAAGTTTTTTATTTTATGTTATAAAAGATATAGTAGGAAAGGGAAATCGAAGCTCTCAATCACTTGAGTTACAAACTCGTCTTCTAAATTTTTATTAGAAGAATAGATTGACATACAGGTGAGTAAACAGAAGGTAATTTGAAAACAAAGTTTGCCCTTTGGAGGAAGATAATATAATGGAGAGGTTTTTTGGGTCACAACAACAGAGATCCAACCTGGAGCTTCCTATCCAAATCAAACACCACAAAATGCCTATCCTACAAGCCATGTCATCACACTATCCACATGAAGGAATGGGTGGTTCTCCATCTCCAAACTTGAGAGAACACCATCTCCACTGTCCATTGCAAAATAATCCAAGCCCCTCCAAAATTACAAACCAAGAACAAAGATAACAAGAAAGATAAGTTGAAACTCATCAGACACTACTGTATCAAATTTCTCATCCTTGGTGGCCTCAGAATCTCTCATAGGACTTAAATAACCTGTAGGGGATTCAATAGCCATGGCCTCTAGCTCCTCCACACTTTCCATCTCCTCCTCATCCACCCTTGTTGACACCAAGGCTCCCCGCCACTCGGCAGCATCATCGCCGCAATGTGTGACCCTCCCTACGCTTCCTCCACCCCCGGTTCAGTCTCAGAACCGCCCAGGGAAGACTACTGCCTATTGTGAGCCATCCATGATTACTATCATTAGTATTTACAAAGTACTTTATATGTTCGATGAAAATTTTGTTTTTCCAAACAATTTGACCAATCTAGACGATTGATCAAGTGAAATTTTATTCAACGTATCGTTTAGATTGACAGTCTAGTAACATAACATGCTAGATGTGTAAATATAAAATGCATATATACTGATGTTTCTTTTTTATTTCTTTTAGGTCGTAAGATTGCACGCAATGTCATGGCCATGGCCACAGGGGAAGCACCTGCAGAAGTGGCAACAACTGAGTTCCCAGAGATTGTGAAGACAGTTCAAGAAGCTGTAAGCCTGTCATTCAGTTATGTCACTATCTAGTGTTTTTGTATGAAGGAGCTCAGCAAGTTAGATGACACAAAATGATTTGTTTTTGCTTTCTAGTGGGAAAAAGTTGAAGATAAGTACGCAGTGTCTTCACTTGCGGTGGCTGGTGCTGTTGCACTATGGGGCTCCACTGGATTGATCTCGGTGTGTCTCTCTCCTTATCCACATTCTGTGTTAGCTTCCCATAGTTTCCAAATTAAAATTTTTAAGTTGCTGTGTTTTTATTTCTGTAGATTTGAGTAGCTAATTTCTTACTCGATTATTCGATTATTGACTGGTTAATCTGCTTGATGGGTATGTTTGTAACAGGCAATTGATAGGCTTCCTTTAGTCCCTGGTGTTCTTGAGCTTGTAGGCATTGGCTACACTGGGGTAAGTTGGGTTTTGTTTGCTTTTGCATTCTTTTAGAAACTTTTCAATTAAGATTATGCCAGAAAAGAACCCAATTCACTACTTCTTGCACTTTCCTACCTCTTACTACCTGCCTTTCTTATGTATCTTTGCAGTGGTTTGCATACAAGAACCTTGTTTTCAAACCAGACAGGTGAGTACAATTTGCTACAAAAACCTTTATTGGAGTATATAAGTAGTTTCTATTTCTTTTAATTGGTCCAAAAAAGATTTGCCATAGTAACATATAGAATTTCCATGGCACATCTGCTGTTTGAATTTCAGGGAAGCTTTGACGCAGAAGATTAAAGACACATACAAAGATATAATCGGAAGCGGCTAGAGCAAACCCGAAAAGTAATGCTGCTGAGATAGGAGAAGAACTTGTGGTTGGTTTTTGAAGCTTATACATACGTGTATATCTCGCAGCATTGTTCATAAATATGTGAACATTCTTCATTTTGTTTGCATAAGCTTATTCTAACCACGGTTATAAATGTACTTTGTCTTCATTTTGTAATTCATATCATTACGTTTCTTATGTTACTTTAGAAGGGAAAGATCAAAGTAAATTAAGTAAAATAATCTGCAGACTTTATGTGCAGTTCTAAGTCTGAAATATTTTCTTGCTTATAGATAAGAAACATTTGCCAATCTTTTATTAGGCTTGGAGCCTTAACACTTTCATTTTAGTGTATGAGTTTTCATATGCCTTGGTTACTTAAAGAACTCCATAACCCAAATGTTACAGACAAAACATTCATATCTGATGCCACTAAATCCAGCACCAGTTGCCAGGGCCATGAGTTCTTGTTCACTCCTCTCCTTCCCTCCCTGAACTTGAGTCATCATAAACACATCAAACTGGGAAGTGCTTTTCACAGCAGTGCTAGTATCTGGCATAGCTGGAAGTAGTGCTTCCACAACAATCACTTTTCCATTGTCTGGAGTAGCATTGTAACAATTCTTCAACAGCTTTAGGCAGTGCTCATCGCTCCAATCATGAAGTATCTACTACAAACAAATGTATCAGAAGACAAGTAGAACAGCTTCATATATATAGTTACCATTGTTAAACTAAAAGAAGAAAACCAAAAATTTAATTAATGCCTGAGAAATTCAAAAATTATCTTCATAAAAATGGCATCCCCACTTGGAACACTAGCAAACATGTCTCCTCCAACATGTTCCACACCTGCAAAAAAAAAAAATTAACTCCCATTTTATGCTGCACACTGCTTCCGATGAAGCAAAAACTACGATTTCACATTGAATCAAATAAATTAAAGTCCTACCAGGATAGGAAGGGGCATGATTTACGACATGGGGCAAGTCGTAATTGATTCCCCTTATATGGGGATATCTAGATGTGACCAGATTAAGGGCCACTCCAAAGCCACCACCAACATCAACAAGTTGTGTGAGGTTCTTGTCTTGAAAACCCTTTGTAGATGTGAAGATGTTTCTTGATGACAATGGTGGTGTGGTTTAAACATTGCTGTGTTGAACACTTGATTAAACCTGGGGTCCAAACCTAGAAACTCAAAAGTTTGCATGCCATGGACCCTGTTAAATGGAATTCCTCCTTCAACAACTGCAGCTTTCATTTGAGACCTGTAGATTTATTATGTGTAGAAAGTTGGAGTTAGATACCCTATTAGTATTATAATTAGCACAAACTATGTGAGTTGTTTCTTTGACTTGGGGAACTTAATAAAAGTTGAATTATATAGGGCCTTTCTTCTATTATTGGGTGGACCATTAATAATTTTAATAGTTACTTCCCTAGCCAAGATTCCCATACTGACTTTAATTATGCCATTTTAAGGAGTGAGATTGTCTGTAAATGTGGGTATAAGAGTGAGTCCGCCCCGTTACACCCAAGTTCGATCATTCCCGAGTACTTTTCTGGTTTCCCCATTATACTGATTTTAATATAATCATGTGTAATGCCAATATGTTAATCAAACGTAAATATATAAAAACATAAGTGAAAAAAAAAAAAAAAAAGAATAAAGGAGGAAAGGATAAAGGATATAATTAATTAGTGGTAGGTTCAAGAGAGCTTAAACTAACCAGCTTTCCATGAAGACCTTGTCTTGATTGAATGTCAACAAGGGGCCCAAAGAACCACCTTCTTCATCATTCACAAAGTACTTAGACACAGGGCCAAGGCTGTAGACCCTCTGAAAATCAGACCCACCATTAGCAGCAACAGCAGAGCAATTAAGAACAGAGTGGCTGATGAGGAGCCTGAGGATTCTATCCACCATCATAGGTGCCTCAGGGTTCTTGGTGCCAATCTTGGCTGCAATCTCAGATGAAGAGAGCTTGGCGCCTGGACCCTCTTTGCCTATGATGTCAAAAACGCCAAGCTCAATTGCTGATTGCAGAGACATGGACAGCACAGAAGAACCCACCAGCTGGATGGCATAGCAGAAGCTTTCATCTTCCTCTTCCTTTGTAATTTCATCCTCAGGCTCAGCATGATTTATTTTGGGATGGCTTTTTCTCTCCAATGAAGAAGCCATTGGACTGTTGTTGCAGGTCCAAGAAGGGGAAGGGGGATATCAGGTTTGATTTTGTGCTTGAGGTGGTCGTGGGTTGCAGGTATGGGTTTGGCTGATAGTTTGTTTGTTTGTTTTTTGTTTTTTTGTTTTTTGTGGGAAGGATGGGTGTGCTGCGAAACTTTTTTAGGAGGGATAGGCAATGGTGCAGAGGGTGGGTGGGGTGGGGCTGTTGCAAGTCCAAGAATGGGAAGGGGGCTGAGGGAGATATCGACATGGAGATGGTGGCTGTCCAACCTTACCAAACTGGGAATGACCAAAATAACCCTCAAATGGACGGATTAATGGATGAAATGTTCAAATTTTGACGGTGGGGGAACATTGATAATAAAATTTAGGGTAAATTACTCAAATGGTCCTCAAACTTATACCCAATTTATATTTTGGTTCATCAATTAAATTATTCGTTCAAAAGGTCCATCAACTCTATCTTAATCGCTCCATTGATTCTCCCGTTACATTATGTTAATGTTGCCGTCCAATGTAAGGGTAAAACAGTCCATAACCATCCTATGTTCCCCAAATAGGTGATAAAGTAGTGATACATAGGTGATAAAGTAGTGATACATTTGTGATATAGTGGTGATAAAAGGGTGATACATAGGTCAAAAGTCTTATTTACCCTCACAAATGTAGCATGTGCGGCTCACATGACTAAATTTAACAGAAAATGTAACGGTAGGACCAAAGTGCCGATTAATAAAGAGTTGGTGGACTATTTGAACGAATAATTTAATTTAGGGACCAAAATGTAAATCGGGTACAAATTTGAGGACCATTTGAGTAATTTACCATAATATTTAATTCGAGCCCTTAATTCGCTAAAAAAAAAAGTCAGGGGGTAAATTGAGAGTTATGTACAAGTTCAAGGGGTAAGTCGGCAGTTTACCCTAAATTATTTCTCCTTCTTGTACCCCAATCTACTCTCTAATATATTTAATGAGCGTGGTACATGCAATAATATGTATGTCACTACTCACTCACTAATGCCTGCTCACCACCAGCACCAGTCAACCAATTTATTTTCTTTTTATGGTTCATCATTCATGAATAATCCAGCACCAGTTGCCAGGGCCATGAATTCTTGTTCACTCCTTTCCTTCCCTCCCGGAATTTCAGTCATCATAATCACATCAAGTTGGGAAGTGCTTCCACAGCATTGCTAGTATCTGGCATAGCTGGAAGTAGTGCTTCCACAACAATCACTTTTCCATTGTCTGGAATAGCTCTGTAACGATTCTTCAACAGCTTTAGGCAGTGCTCATGGGTCCAATCATGAAGTATCCAATACAAAGATGATAACTTAATTAGTGGCACTAATGGTGTATAACTAACTTTCCATGAAGACCTTGTGTTGAGCCAATGCCATCAAGGGGCCCAAAGAACTTAGACATAGGGCCAAGGCTATAGACCCTCTGAAAATCAGACCCACGCCATTTTCATCCTCATTAGCAGCAGCAAGAGAGGAATGGAGAACAGAGTGGCTCGTGAGGAGCCTGAGGATCCTATCCATCATCATGGGTGCCAATCTTGGCTGCAATATCAGACGAAGAGAGCTTGACGCCTGGACCTTCTCTGGTTATGATGTCAAAAACCCAAGCTTAATTGCTGATTGCAGAGACATGGACAGCACGGAAGAACCTACCAGCTGGATGGCATAGCAGAAGCTTTCTTCTTCCTCTTCCTTTGTTATTTCATCCTCGGGCTCAGCATCATTTATTTTGGGATGGATTTTCCTCTCCAATGAAAAAGCCATTGGATTGGACTGTCTATATTTACGGTATGAAACTCATTGCTAGTGTAGTGATTAAACTCATGAACAGGTGAACCAGGTAACAATACTAAGAAAATAAAGATACAGCATCCAAAGCATAGAGAAATAAGCAATTACCATCACAAACTCAACAAAGGCAATGCGAGTAGAGTGCTGATAGCCTCAGACGATTAACCTGACTATTTCAACATTTAGATTGGTATATACTTGTATGTAGTTAGGAGTAAAATTTGGGTTTTCTTTAACCAGGAAAGCCGCACGGCTGTACCGTATTTTTTTCCATTAAAAGATATTTTTTTGGCTAGTAAGTATTCCAAAAAAAAACTATCAATTCGGCAATAAAACCGCTCATGCCTGGTAATGAAAGAGAAGGCTTTTTATTATTTCGAGTGATGCTTTTGTTTTTACTAGCATTTTCATTTATATGAGAATTTATAAATAAATTAAAAACATTTTAAATATATTTGAATATTTAAAAGGTATAAATAATTTTATTTGAGGGACGCCCTTTAGGGTACCATACAATCTTTTTTTTAATGATCCAAATTATCTACTTTTTAGATATTCATTCATAGATCATCCTTACAAAAAATTAGACAAATCGGAAATCGTTTCGACATCCAATTGTGTCCTACAAAATCAATGAACACGGTACTTCAAGAAAGTACTAAATTTTCAATAACTCAATTGAATAGTCAAATGATATCAGATTTAAGTGATTTTTTGTAGAGATGATCTTTGAATGAGTATCTACAAAATAGACGGTTTGGATTAGTGAAATACAATCCGGAGTGGGCCCTACAATGGGTGTCCCTCAAATAAGCTTATTTGAGGGATCCCTCAATGGAAGCTCTCTGTTTTTTTTTTTGAGAGAGAATAGCGATAGGATTTTTTTTTGAGGCAATGTCGTCAGGGATTAGGTAAGTTTCTCTACACATATGGGCTCGATCATCGGTCTAACTGAGTAATCTTACCCGCTCAACTACAAGCAGGAGCAGGAACCTAACCACTGATAGAGTACCCCCCCGTCCCCCTACGAACATACCCGTAAAAACTACTTGTTACAATCTTCTGTTACTTTAGAAGGGAAATATCAAAGTAAATTAGGTAAAATAATCTGCAGACTTTAGGTGCAGTACTCTTGAGTCTTCAGTATTTTCTTGCTCATAGATAAGAAACATTTGCCAATCTTTTATTAGCCTCGAAGACTTAACACCTTCATTTTAGTAACTAAGTTTTCATATGCCTTAGTTACTTAAAGAACTCCATAACCCAAAAGTTACAGACAAAACATTCATATCTGATGCCACTAAATCCACCACCAGTTGCCAGGGCCATGAATTCTTGTTCACTCCTCTCCTTCCCTCCCGGATATTGAGTCATCATCATCACATCAAGTTGGGAAGTGCTTTTCACAGCAGTGCTAGTATCTGGCATAGCTGGAAGTATTGCTTCCACAACAATCACTTTTCCATTGTCTGGAATAGCTTTGTAACAATTCTTCAACAGCTTTAGGCAGTGCTTATCGCTCCAATCATGAAGTATCCACTACAAACAAATTTATCAGAAGACAGTAGAACAGCTTCATATATATGGTTACCGTTGTTAAACTAAAAGAAGAAAACCAAAATTTAATTAATGCTTGAGAAATTAAAAAATTACCTTCATAAAAATGGCATCCCCACTTGGAACACTAGCAAACATGTCTCCTCCAACATGTTGCACACCTGCAAAAAGACAAAAATCAATTAACTCCCATTTTATGCTGCATACCGCTTCCGATGAAGCAAAAACGAAGATTTCACATTGAATCAAACAAGTCCTACCAGGATAGGAAGGGGCATGATTTACAACATGGGGCAAGTCGAAATTGATACCCTTTATATGGTGATATCTAGATGTGATCAGATTAAGGTTCACTCCCAAACCACCACCAACATCAACTAGTTGTGTGAGGTTCTTGTCTTCAAAACCCTTGTAGATATGAAGAAGTTTCTTGATGACAATGGTGGTGTGGTTAAACATTGCTGTGTTGAATGCTTGATTAAACCTGGGGTCCAAATCTGGATACTCAAAAGCGTGCGTGCCATGGACCCTGTTAAATGGAATTCCTCCTTCAACAATTGCATCTTTCAGTTGAGACCTGTGAATTTATTATGCGTAGAAAGTTGGAGTTAGATACCCTAATTGTATTATAATTAGCACAAACTATGTGGTTTGCTTCTTTGATTTAGGGAACTTAATAAAAATTGAATTATATAGGGCCTTTCTTCTATTATTGGGTGGACCATGTATAGAAAAGGAAAGAGGATAATTAATTAGTGGCTGGGGCAAGAGGGCTTAAACTAACCAGCTTTCCATGTAGACCTTGTCTTGAGTGAATGTCAACACGGGGCCCAAAGAACCACCTTCTTCATCATTCACAAAGTACTTAGACACAGGGCCAAGGCTGTAGACCCTCTGAAAATCAGACCCACCACCATTTTCATCTTCATTAGCAGAAACAAGAGAGCAATTGAGAACAGAGTGGCTGGTGAGGAGCCTGAGGATCCTATCAATCATCATGGGTGCCTCAGGGTTCTTGGTGCCAATCTTGGCTGCAATCTCAGATGAAGAGAGCTTGGCGCCTGGACCCTCTTTGCCTATGATGTCAAAAACGCCAAGCTCAATTGCTGATTGCAGAGACATGGACAGCACAGAAGAACCCACCAGCTGGATGGCATAGCAGAAGCTTTCATCTTCCTCTTCCTTTGTAATTTCATCCTCAGGCTCAGCATGATTTATTTTGGGATGGCTTTTTCTCTCCAATGAAGAAGCCATTGGACTGTCTATGTTTACGTTCTGAAACTCATTGCTAGTGGAATGGGTTTACTTATAGCTAGGAAACATAACATACAATCCAAGTGGCTCTAGTATATAATATTAAGACGGAATACCAATTTAGTACTATATTGTTAATATATTGAGACTCTATATTGTATTTCAATTATTCGGACTGTCTATGTTTTAGATGTTACTTCAAATATTATATGTGGGAGCAAATTTTTCCACAAGAATATTCAATTGGAAAAATTCCCCTCTCTTCTTTGCCGCCTCTTTCTCCCTGAAAAATAGAACAAATAAGAGGGCCACACCAAAGGCCCTATGATGCCTAAATTAGTTCAAAAGTTTGTAAGAAAAACACTAGCTAATCTAGGGTACGGAGATATGTTTAAGGTGTAAACCGGGCGGCCAGAGCCGTATGTAAAAGAGAGGGAGAGAGGAGGGGGCTAGGGTTTGAGAGGAATTTTCTGCAGAGCTTCAGTAGAGATTTCAGACGTACCTCAACCCTTGTGCGTAGCCATCCTTTTATAGTGGTCTCGGAGGGTTAGGGTTCGGAGA